TAACATCTTTTCGTGCTTCTGATTCCATGAGTTTGCCTTACCCTCCTTGGGTTCAAACTACTATTAGCCACCCTGTTGCCATGGTAGCTGTCACCACTCGCTCATCAGCCTTTTGCTCTGGCTGTGGTTTTTGCACATGAATGTGTTTATTATCACAGGACACCAACACAGACTCTGATGACTAGGGGACAAATTCGTAACTGCTGGACATTTGCCCTCCCCCAGGTCCTGCTTAATCTGCTGCAGGAAGACAGCTGGCTTTATTTTTAACACACACACACACACACACACACACACACACACACACACACACACACACACACATGAACGCACAAGCTCCAATCTTTCCTGCGCAAATGCAGTGTGCTTACTTTTTCCTCTCGTTGTGATTGTGTGTGTGTGTGTGTCTGCACACGTGTGTGCGTGTGTGTTAGTCAAATTTCCTTTTGACATTTAGTTTAGACGGTCCTCTTCTTTATTGTGAAAAGGCTCCAGAGATGTTGGTTATGCATTCCAACATTAAAGTCCCATTAGTTGTCACACACACAGGTGTGTGTGCGAAATTTGTTCTCCGCATTTGACCCATCCTCTGGAGGAGCGGTGAGCTGCAGACACAGCCGCGCTCGGGAACCATTTGGTGGTTTAACCCCCCAATCCAACCCCTTAATGCTGAGTGTCAAGCAGGGAGGTATTGGGTCCCATTTTTTTCTAAGTCTTTGGTATGACCCGACCAGGAATTGAACCCTGATCTCCCAGTCTCAGGACGGACACTATACCACTAGGCCACTGAGCTGAGCTATGTACTGAAAGACCACTTCACTTGTTTTTTAACCCTCTGGAGGCAGGCGTTGCAGATTTGCAACGTTAAAACCTACCTACCTGGTTACTCCACACACCTATTTCATGAGCATTTTTTAACTCAGAAGTACCCCTGAAGGACTTAGTTGTCCGTCCTTTTATCAAAACTTATTTTGAGCCTGAGAGAGTTAATCCATTTGCAGTGCTCTCTAAACGAGTTACCTGTGAGTTGATCTTTGTGGGACAAATTTCTTGGGGCTCCTGTTTCAGGAAGGAGGTGTTAGTTGGAGCAGAAAACTTTAGGGTTTGGAGTCTTATCAGTAACACTTCCTGATATTGGGACATCTTGCCTCCGATTGGTTGGTTTCTAACAGTAAGTTGTGTAAACTTATGCTAGAGGCCTACCCTGCAAGGTGCAAAGCAGCAGGACACAGCCATTTTTCTCATGTCCCCTCCAGTGATTACTTTCTGAAATGTTACTGTAAAGAAACCCAGCAGACTGCAGGGAGTCACTGACTTGTGTCAGTGACTTTACAGCAATCCTCATACTAAGCAAGCGTGTAGCGACAGTGGAGAGGAAAACTCCCTTTTAACAGGAAGAAACCTCCAGCAAAACATGGCTCAGTATGAGCAGTTGTCTGACACCAGTCAATGGGGGTTTGAGAAGACAGAGCAGACACATAAATAATAAACAATTAACTACTAGCAGTAATTAAAAAGTTAAACATTACTAGCAGAACAGGGTGAATACTTAGTGGGTGGCAGTAGTTTGCCCGCTGAAGACCCGCCTCCAGGAAGGTATAGGGAGCCTAAGTCACTTCCACATCACGGGTCCCCAGAAGAATGAAAAGATAAGTCAACGAGGCTAAAACCATTATTTTCTAATCCGCTTTGCCTTACGCCCTGGATCACACATATGTTATACTGCAGTTTCAATGAAAACTAATGATGGGTGTTTCGACAACGCCAGTCACGCACTTTGAGATTTATTTGCTTGTAAATGTTTGTAATTGGCATGACTACAAACTAGAAATCAGCACGTAGCATATGTGACGTCACCTCATAATCCCCTCTCCTAAAGTAGCTGCTGCTTACCAAATGACCAGATTTGTGGCGGTTCTTTCCTCCTGTGGGAAGTTTGCTGAACATACAGCCATTTTCCCTCAGTTTTCTTCGTGTCTGGTTCGATGGCGTCGCTTTTGTGAAGCGCATTTGTAGTCCTGGACTTATTACCTAAATTATTGTTCCCCCCGTTTGAAAAAAAGCTCGTTCTTGGTATCAAAATGTGTCTTTAAAAATTCACGGACATCATATGTGAAATCCATGGCACAAAACAAGCAGATTAGAAAATAGCATTTTTAGCCCCGTTCACTTGCATTCATTTTTTCGTTCTTCTGGGGACCCGTGATGCGGAAGTTTATTTATTTTTTAATTGAACACGCATACATGAAGGAGAACATGCTAGCTTCACGCAGAAAGGTTGCTGCTGGACTTGAACCAGAAACCTTGCTGTGAGACTAAGTGCCAACAATTCACCGTCATGTAGCCCCGTTTTTTTGTCTATTTTATTTTAGTCTGGGTGCGTGTGTTTGACCTGAACATGTGGGGGAACCTGAGCACCAGGAGTGAACTAACCCATACATAAAGGAGATTTCTAATTTAAGACTAAAAGAAGAAGAAGAAGAAAATATCATTTCTATAGCGCCTCTCAAGATAAAAATCACGAGGCGCTTCACAAAAACAAAAAATGTAAAAATTGAAAAAAGAATTTAGAAAATCGTTAAAAATATATTTAAAATTAGCAAAAAATAGACAATTGTGATTAAAAAATGTTAAGAAAGAGAGAGAGAGAGTGAACAGGAAAGAGGGAAATCAGTGGATCCTGAGGAAGGTGGAATAGGTGGGGAGAGCAGAATAAAGAGAGAGTGGTGAAGAAGGTCATACAAAAGCCAGCTTGAACAAGTGAGTCTTCAGCTGCTTTTTAAAACCCACGACAGAGGACACACCCTGGACTTGGTCATCACGTATGGTCTGTCCACCGGTGTGTCCTCCGTCGTGGATTTAGCGATCTTAGATCATTTTGGTGTGTTTTTTGGCACCACCAGCACAATTCGGCAGGAGACTTCTGTGAGAACTGTAATGAAACGCCATCTAACCCCTGAAGTGGCTGCTGGTTTTCTGGAAACTTTTCAAAAGATCCCTCCTATTAATTTAAATGCCCCCTGTGATTTTATCTTCAATGATTTTAACAGTAGACTTAAATTACTCTGGATCTGCTCGCTCCACCTAAAATTAAAAAAGCTACAGCCAAAACCAGCTTCCCCTTGGATCAATGAAAACTTAAAAATGTTGAAAAGATCTTGCAGGGTGGCGGAAAGAAAGTGGAGGAAATATAAGAACACAATTAATTAACAAATATACACTGAATTATTAAAATCATACAACAAAGCAGTTAGAAATTCCAGAAATAATTACTTTTCTAAAATCATCTCTGAACACAAAAACAATCCCAAAATTCTGTTTTCTACCATTACAAATATTTTGGGTCGTGAATTTAGTTCCCTCCAGAAAACCCCCTCGGATGCTCTCTGTGAGGAGTTTGCAGCCCACTTCAGAGGGAAGGTAGACACCATCAGACGTAACATTTTAGGCATTCAGGCATTCTGAACCACCTGTAGACGGTTCAGGGAGGTTCTGCTCAGACACGTGAAAAGAGAGTTACAGTAGTCTAAGCGTGAGGAGATGAAGGTGTGGAGAACTGTCTCAAGTTCAGAGCGGGACAGAATGGGACTCAGCTTAGCAACGTTCCTGAGATGGAAGAAGGAAGAGCCAACAAGAGAACTGACATGAGAATCCAGGGTGAGAGCTAGGTCAAAGGTCACGCCAAGATTCCTGACAGAAGGTTTGGTGTGAGAAGCAAGCTGACAAGAAAGTCTCTGACTTTGGGAACCAGCTTGTCCAGGGCACAGATGAGGATCTCAGTCTTATCTTCATTCAGCTGTAGAAAGCTCCCAGCCATCCAGGTTTTGATAGAGTCTAAGCAGGTGTGTAACAGCTGCAGCTTAGACATCTCATGGGGCTTAAAGGAGATGTACAGTTGGATGTCATCTGCATAAAGATGGTAGGAGATTCATTTGAAGGAGCTCAGGATGTGCTGAAGAGGAAGCAGATAGAGGAGGAAGAGCAGAGGCCCCAGCACAGAACATGGTGGGACACCATGGGTAAGAGAGGTGGTGGAGGACCTAAACTTGGAGACGGTCACAGAAAAGGAGCGCTCAGAGAGATAAGAGGAGAACCACTCCAGAGCAGATCCTGGTAGGCCTACCCAGTCTCTCAGCGTCTCCAGTAGCAGGTGATGGTCAACAGTGTCAAAAGCTGCAGTCAGGTCCAGCAGGACCAGAACAGAACAGTCCTCTGCATCACTGTGAGCCAGAAGGTCATTAGAGACCCTAAGAAGAGCTGTTTCAGTAGAATGAGCTCTACAAAAACCTGACTGTAAGCAATCATAGATGTTATGTTCATCAAGAGCAGCTGTGAGTTGTTTTTCCACAACCTTTTCCAAGATCTTGGAGATGAACGGAAGTTTAGAGATGGGTCTGAAGCTGCTATGGAGAGAGGAGTCGAGACTCGGTTTTTTAAGAAGCGGGTGGATTACAGCATTCTTAAAGTAAGCAGGGACCTGACCTGAGACCAGAGAAGCATTAATTATAGAGAGCACGCTGGGACCGATGGACTGAAAAGCACTTTTAAACAAAGATGAGGGTAAGATGTGGAGGGGGCATGCAGAGGTCTTCATAGAGTTAACTAGTTTGGTTAACTCAGCTATCTAGGATGATGGGCCTGGTTGGAGTTGAGAGAGGCAGCGATAAGGCTGAAGGAGAGATGCTAGATCTACCCTTATTGACTTTGTCCACAAAGAAAGACAGAAAGTTCTCACAGTCTGCAACAGAAGCTGAATTGAAGAAATTGCACAATATTCTCCTTTAGGAGTTTCACCTGTACTTCTTCCACTTTTGCAGCACATGTGCAAGGGAAGGGTGCCACCTTGTGGAGGAAATGTCAAACTATGTCTAACTATGTCATGATCAGTTTGCAGATGTATTTGTGCGGCAGGCAACCCTCCAATTGTGAAATTATTGGGTGCAGGAGGACACAACTGTTAGTCTTCTAGAAGTGAAGCTTCCCTTCTTTTCTGCCTCCAGGTGCCACTTGTGTGACGGACGCGGTTCCCCTGTGTCCTCTAGAACCCTCAGCTGCACTCGCAGATGCAGAACAACACGGCACAGATGGAGAAAACTCTGCTTTGAACAACGAACTGCAGCATCACTGTGTTTCCATGGAAACCTCGAGTCTGCGACCTCAAGCACCCAAAGCTGAAGAGACACCGGAGGAAGATGATGAAGCTGGAGGCGCACTCACCATTTCTGAGCTTTCCTACAGGTTAGCCGCCTCCTTCACATCCTTCACCAGCTGAACTCTCTTCTTTAGTTTGGGTCTCAGATTCTCTCTCTCCCCCACAGCCCCTGTGCCAGCATGCTTCCAACTCCCGTGGATGACACCCAAGGAGGAGTCAGTCTGCTCTTCTCCTCCCCAGTACAGAGCCCAGCTCGGCTTCTCAGGGAGCTCCACGCAGACCCCGACATCCAGGCCCAGCTGGAGGCAGAGAGGCAGCGGGACCGAGCATACGAACGCGCCCGCCTGGCAGCGAGGAGTCCAGTGAGCGGAGTCTTGACCAGCGGCCTGCGCCTGCTGTCGTCCAACAAAAGAGTCAACTCCTGTTTGCTCAGCGTGGCCCGATTCGTTGCCATGGTAATGTGCATCCTGCTTGTCACTGTGCCCACACTGCTGCTGCTTCTAGAGTCGGACATTGATGTGTCGTTCCTTCACGAGATCCGGCAGACGCCAGAGTTTGAGCAGTTCCACTACGAGTATTACTGCCCGCTCCGGCGCTGGATTCTGTGTAGGATCAGCATGGCCTTGGAGAACCTGTGGTCCGACTGAGGGAGACGAGAAAGAGAACCGAAATGTCCAAATGTCCGTCTTTACAAGTGATTGTAGAATCCTGATGCCAGGGAGGTGAAATAAGTTAGTTAATGTATGCAAATCTGCAGCAAATTTATCATGGTATCTCAGAACTGTAGCATTTTTTATTTACTTATGTATTAATGCGGTGGGTGGGAATGCGTCCAACTGGACAATTTAGCCTGGATCAGCCTGAAAAAATGTGTTTCACCTCTTTGTTAGAAGGCTTTCCTTTCATTTAAAAAGGACTAAGGAGGGACACATTATTTTAATTTAGTCACTTGATAAGATGGACGTTTTTGGCAGGGATCAACAGGAAAGAAAGCATGAAAATGATAATAAATGAAGGAACTGATGGAGGAAAAGAACAAAAGTATGTGATTTTAATGGCCTTTCCACTCTTGATGCTGACCAGATGTTGTAGAGACTCTTCAGTGAAACTTCTGATTGGTTGTTGTCCTTAGAGCCATCATCTGATTGGATGCAGCAACTGTCAGTCATGGCAGAGTGGGCGGGAACAGACAGAGAAATTACCTACCAGTACACACAAGGAAAGCCACAGAGAAATACGCACGTTCGCGCACGCGCGCACACACACACACACACACACACACACACACACACACACACACACACACATACACACATGCAGAAAAGGTAAACAAAGATATCAGTAATTTGTTTTAAAGTTTAGTACATTTTTATGTGATTCAGATCTTTCAGGAACTTTTCAATCAGAAGATCTACTTTGAGCTTATTTTCAAATTAAGAGTTTACAAGTGACCACTGAAAAAAAATAAGCTCATTTATTGTAGCTTATCAGGTTGTTGAGAAACTATTTTTTTAAGGCTACCATCCACGTTTGTCCTGGTGGTAACCTGGTTTTCTTCTTACAGAACTTATAGCACAAAACTCTCAGCTCCAGCTTTTCTGATTATTTGATGTCATTATGAAAACCAGTCGAGAGGAACTTAACCCCGTTTGTGTTAGCAAAACCTGCGCTCAGCTGAATTTATGGATGTTTTCTGAACCACGTGTACATCTTTCATCATGCCAGAGTTTTACTAAAAAAATGGGAGCTCATTAAGATCAGAAATACAAATGATCACACAGCTAGTGGAGGATGCATGGCGAGTCAAGTGAGAGGTTTAATCATCAAATATAACACATATGTGCAAATGAAGTAATCAAAAACAAACAGTGGATTATTCTAAGGTGGTTAATGAGTTAAAATGTGTTGCACATGGGTTCAGGAATTATTAAAAGCTACGTAAGTAAGAAAAGGTATGCTCACCAAAATCGTAGCTCTAGAAGTTTAAATCTGTCAGAGTGACTTCTGCAAACTGAAACCCAAATTCACCAAACAGTTGTGAACTTTGCAAAAGCAAATTATGTCCATGGACGTAATTTTCACTTTAGAAGTGGGGGGGACATGGGGGGGGGGGGGGGGGGGGGATCTTTATAGTATGCTCTAATGGGAAACAGGCTTCAACACGAACAGTTGTTTTCTGCTTGGTCCTAGAGCTCAACAAATGTCAATTTAATATAGCGTAATATTGTTTTTGGATGGTAAAAAGTGCAGGGGTCAAAACTTGACTTTGGAAAAAGTGGGGGGGACATGTCCCCCCTGTCCCTCCCAAAATTACGTCCATGATTATGTCATTCATAAATCTCTTGCAAATGGAAAAGTCTGTGCTGCCAACCAAACAGAAAACTGCAGTTTGTTACACAAACTGTGCAATTAGCTCACATTTGCTAAGCTAGCAGGTGAGGATTAGCATTGCAAAAGATATTTGGAGATGTGTGCTGAAAATAGTAGGCAAAGAAAAACAGGGGAAGTGCAGTGAATCAGGGTCTCTGTGTGTCGTAGTTAAAGGTGTGGAACACTGAGGGAACATTTTTTAATAATTTCTTATTGTAATCAAACTCTAGGATCTTAAAAGCCTGACAGATCTACGTCACACTGTCACTTCACATTCATGGACTCACCCATCTTGACTCTTGGCAGGGAAGGCTGTTGTTGGTTTAGCTTCCAGGAAACAGCAGAGAACATCTAGGCTAGTAAAAGCTAACTGTTAGCATTAGCAACTCCACCACACAGCAGAACTCCTTAAAACTTGTGCTATTTGTGGAGATAAAACATCAACGTTGCAGAGCAAAGGGTGTCAGTGGTAGAGTTGCCTTGCTGTTAGCCAATCAGAGGGTAGTTATCCAAATATCAAGAAATAAGACTCCAAATCTTGTTGTCTGAAGGTCAGCTGTGATGTGGCTCACTTCTAGTTCCTGAAACTGGTGCACCAGAGTTTTTCTTCCCCCAAGTACGACCTACATGGCATCCATGCCAACTTGAAACTGCTGCAAATGTGTTCCACACCTTTAAAAATAGCTTAAATGTCGACTTTAGATCAAAAGCAAAATGATGTCTGACAAAAGAAAACTGCATCTAAAGGGTTTGGCCAAGTTTCTACAGACTTCTCAGGAAGGAGAAGGAAACAGTTCATGTAAACAAATAAAATGTTTTAAAAAATGCCAAAAAAATCTAACTGCATAACATTATATAGTTTATTCATAGTAACCACTCATACTGCCTTCATAGTTATATTATGTGACGCCAGACATAAGTATGGCTGCAGATTTCTTGCATTGATGTCACGTACAAATGTGTTTAGGAGCATTAGTGGAGCCTACGTTGGTCCATCTCTATCAAAGCTTTCATGCAGGCTCTTTAAATAAATATATTTCTTTATGATGTCACGTCCCATATAATCTCATTGCATTAATCATAGTCCACTTGAATCTCTATCTTGCATCTCGTATGATCAGCTGTGTTGTTATAGACTTAATGCATTACAAGCTTTATGCATATAGAAATTATGCAGTAACAACAGAAAGATACATATTTAAAACAAAGCATTTATTTTCTTACTTGCAGCACATGCACTGACTTTTAGAAGGTGAAACCAAGCAAAGGGCCAGATCACTCCAATGTCTGTTTTAGCATCCCAGATCTGAGCGGATGGACGCACTGACTCTGCTAAAGACTATTCATATTCATATATTCTATCTTCATTTGTAAATGAGTGTCCTTGTATTTGCACAGGCAGCAACATGTGGCAGAAACTCTGCAAATATAAAATAAAAAGTCTCTGTACAGATATCTTGTTCGCTCAGCTATTGTTTGTCAGCGGTTTAGTCCTTGATCCCTGCGCGCCGTCAGGTTCCCTACATGCAAAAAGTGCATGCCCTCATTTGTAAATATTGTGTTTATAGCTGAAAAAATGCATCAGAGAGTTTATAAAACCCCCCAAAAAAGTTTCTTTCTGTCTTCGCTTTGTGTGTCTTGTCTGTGTAAAGCTATCTTGCTATGGGCTTGGCTGTCTCAACCATGTTAGATTAATGCATGCTCTCTGTGTTTTTAGCAGCTAAGAAAATGACAAAAAAAATCTGCATTTAAGATGTTCATGAAAGCCTTTTTCATCATTCAAATTCATGCTTTCATTTTTATAATTTGACTTGGATACATGTGGCTGATAATTCCACAAAAGCGTAATCAGCTCATTTATTAAAAACTGAAACTGAACTTTTGAATCTCCTCTAAAACGCTTGACTAGCTGGTTTCATCATCCTGCTATGGTTGTAAACCACAACAATAAACACCAACACCCACTGCTCTGACTTAAAACCTAAAATAAAACCTAAAACTAGCTTACCGCAAACAGCAAAAGAGCCTTTTTGCTCTGAGATAAACAGCTCATGGCCCACTGACATGACACCGTAGCATTATAGTACATTTATAGGCCTTCGTTAGCATCCTTTAAAATAATTAAACTAGTTTTGAGCTATATCTCTTGTTGTCAACCTCTGAAAGTCTTGTAAAGATGGCTGAAGAATGCAGCTTTTATTTAAACTGTGATGTAAAAATAAGAAATCCATCAAATGATGTCACATATGAGTTAATTTCACCATTTTCTTGCAAATTTCCTTAAAGGAAACAACTGATTAACTTCAAATTTAACGAGTTTTATTGGTAAAATTGAACAAAAAATAAACCAGTGTCAAATTAACTGTTGAAAGTTGATTTATATAACATTTAAATATTTGAACTCAGGTCTAATATATGCAAAAATGCTGAACAATAGGTTTAAAAGTAAAAAAAGTATTATTTCAGTGTTGTGTGGGCTTGTACAGTAGCAGATTCTCTTGTACTGTCGCTGTGGTGTTTTTAATTGTCGGGCAAACTGATTGTTTTTGTACTAAATTTGTCAGAAAAACTTTTCTTTCATGTTTTAGTTGTTATTCTTTCAGTTTGAATAAGCCTTTCTGGGAGATTTAATTAAAAAAGAAATAAAAAAACAAAGAGACAACCAAGCCTTATGAACTTTGTGGACGTTTATATGTCATAAAAAAACATGGATTGTTTTATATGTTAATACTGCCACAATAAAGATCCTCAATTAAAATTGTCGATACTTGTGGATTTCTTCCTTTTGGACAGAACATTTAAACATTATATTGGGTTTATTTAATTAATACAATTTATAGAAAAATAAACATTTGAACTTTTCTTTAACTTTGTCTCCCTCTTGCGGTGAAACATGGATATTGCAGGTGGCATTGTTAGCGGATTCTGTTTTTCAGTCTGGATCATTGATTAATTTTTATTAGTATAATATTACACGAGTTTTATTACATACTTATTATTATTTCTTTGTAAAAAAAACTGTACCCTTTAATAAGAAAATTGGAAAAAATTGATGACTTAAATAAAAATGATGAAAGATATATTGTGAAAAACCTAAAGGTTTATAAATAATAAACATATTTTAAAGAAAATCTGAGGTTCAACAATCCATCAGACCCTCCACTCCAGAACCCCTGAATAGACCTGACCAGGGAGGCTCAGAAGTGTGATCCCCCTGTAGATGGAACACACCCTGCGGTCCTCCTTGAATAGGGGGACCACCACCCCGGTCTGCCAGTCCAATGAAACTGCCCACAATGTCCACGCGATACTGCAGAGCCGCAACAGCCCTACGACATCCAGAGCTTCAAGGAACTCCAGACGGATCTCATCCAACCCCAGAGCCTTGCCACTGAGGACCATTTTGACAACCTCAATGACCTCAGCCCCAGAGACTGGATATATAATTTTGCATTTAGACACCAAACAATATGCAAATAAACTGTACTCTTGTCTCCATATGAATGACTGACTTGTAAGTTGTTCTCTGTTGGAAAACAAAGCTCTAGCACCCCAGTTTCAGGAAGTAGAAGTTAGCTGAGGGGGTGGGAGGCAGAAAACGTCAGGATTTGGAGTCTCATTCATTAATATTCATACTTCTCCGCTCAGCCATCTCTGATTGGCTACCAGCTACGCGACTCTTTCACTTTGCAACGTTGAAGTTTTATCTCCACAAAAACACAAGCCTGAAGGAGTTCTCCCATGTTGTGGAGTTGCTAATGCTAATGGTTAGCGTTAGCCGGGGCATGCTCTGCTCTCTCCTGGTTGCAAAATCAACAACAGCCTTGCCTGTCACGAGCCAAGATGGGTGAGTCAATGAATGCAAATTCACAATGTGACGTTAATCTGTGTGTTTTTTTCTGACCTGAGCTTTTCCTCATCTGTTTTCTATCAGTGTCTAATGCAGGAAATAAGAAGCATACTAATGAAAAGTCAGAGTGACTGAATAAATTTCTAAAAGAACAAATATTTATCATTTCTCAGTGAATCTCACCTTAGAGTGAACAGTGGCTGGCTTGTTTATTTATTTAATCAATCATTTATTCATTCTGCATTTTAATAGTTTACTTTTATTTCCCCTTGTATGATGTTGTCTTCATGCCTGGCAAACAGCTGGGGTCCCTCTTTGTGATTTTTGAACAATAAAGATGGCTGTCCATCCAGCCCCAATGGTACATAGATCCCTCTCTGAGTCCTGCTTGCTGCACACAAACCAACATGAATGTTTTGGCTCAAGTTACACTTCTGATTATTCTTGTATTTTGAGGCAGTTGTGGGTTTAGATTAAACTGAATTTGTAGCAGCACATGGTGCATTCTCATGACGTAAGTGTTTCCAGTGCATCAGTGCACCACTCCCTGGACAAACACAAAATATCCTAGAACTGCCTCGTCACATGCAATCACTCCGGCTGCAAACCAGAGAATTAATTTATGAATTTAAGCCACAAATATTAACAAACTGATTTACAAAAAAAAAAACTTACTTTTTGTGCATTTATATGTTTTTAAGACATTTGAGATTTGGGATTAGATCTGATAAAAAGTCTTGCTGTTAGTAAGTTCTTCCATGATGGAGTAAAAAATGCACAAATTAAAATTATTTTTAAAGTGATGTTTTAAAGGTGTAGCTGGATTGGTCTGATTTCTACAGCATGTGTGCTGTCAGTGTTATTAAAAAACAAAATGCTGATTTATGAGTGTAAAGAAACCATTTTAACAAATTTTCCTAGTTAAAAAAGCCTGGAGATGATGGTGAAGCCAGGTTATGTGTTCATTACAGGAACTCAAAGTCACAGGGTGTACTGGTCCTGCTTTCTGCGCTGATAAGATATCATCTCTGATTGGTCCATTCTGTGATCATGTGCTTAGTGTGGACGTAAGCTGGTGTAAACCAGCAGATAGGGGAGGTAAAGTTATGAGATACTGCAGTGTCAACTCACACACGTTTATGTTTCCATCACCACATTACATTACACTGTGCCTCAGTCATTTCCTGAAAAGTTACCTGAGTCCCTTATCTCAACTTTGCTAAATCTAACCTCATTCTGCCCCGTGAAAGAAGTCCTCACTTTCGGGGTGGGGTTTTTCTAAACTGTGTGGACTTTATTTTGTCCCCTGATGTGTGAGTGTGTTGCACAACAAGACGAATAATACAGATTGGATGGATGGATGGATGGATGGATGGATGGATGGATGGATGGATGGATGGATGGGGAGATGGGTAGGTAGGTAGGTAGGTAGACTGTTTTGCTGTTAACAACCCCAAGCCTTTTGTGGACAATGTTAAGTTGATTTAAATAGAACTCAGTGGGGTGGCCAATCAGATTTCAAGGGAGGAATGTGCTACCCCAGGCCACTCCCTGGACACACCCCTGTACACACATGTAAAATAAAGCATAAAGCATGATTCTGTCTGACTTTCTCAGAAACATGTTCAGATGTTTAAACTCTTTCATAAAAACGTGACTGTTATAAAACCTGCAGACTTTTGATGTTTACCATCAGCAGAGGATAAAATTCATTTAGGACCCTGAAAATAAACCTCTTCCACGCTGCAGAAACAAACACAGGCACCGACTGTCTGACGCGGCTCTTTGGAAAATAGGAACGATCAGCTGCTGGGTCTGTGATTAAAAAATAAATCAAAACTCAAGAGAGAGTTCACAGCAGGTTTAGAAAAAGACAAAAGTCTGATGCCAAATTTCTTACGTATAAATAAATAGTTACATAATGGTATAAATTTGTCTAACTCCATTTTTCCATTACATTTTAATTTTAAACAAAATTACAAATGTGTAAAAATATAATGCCCTTTTTAATACGTATAAAGATGTATCTTAATATGTACATTTCTGTAAGACAGAATTTGCAGACTTTGAATTTATTGAGCATTTTGTTTTCAAAAATTGATCAGGCTTATTAGAAATGACCCCCCCCCCCCCCCCCCCACACACACACACACACACACCCCAAAAAAAAACATTTGACTGCATGAGGGGTAGGGGTGCTTGCAGAACTGGGAGATGGAATCATTTCGACAGCTAGATTGCTGGAAAAAGTGATGGTACTTCTGGTACACTAAATTAAAGTCCTAGTACTCTGAAAGATACATTAGTACCACTTAAATCACTGCTTTAAGGACATAAATGTGTGTGTGCGTGTGTGCGTGTGCGTGTGTGTGTGTGTGTGTGTGTGTGTGTGTGTGTGTGTGTGTGTGTGTGTGTGTGTGTGTGTTTTGTGGTGGGATGCTGGGGGGCAAGGCTTTACAGCAGGGGGCCCCTGTTAAGCTGCCCCTGGACAAGCACAGTTGAAGAGGACAGTGTTAACAGCAAAAAGCAAACAGATGACATAAAATCTCAAAAAAGGGATGAAGGTAATTAAATACTGAAGATCCAAGTTATTTTATATAATTGAAACCAGTACAGTTATCTTTTTCTTTGAGAGTTGTCATGGTTTTAACAGCATCTGTCACGCCATCTTTAAAGAGTCTGAAAAGCGTTTTTATCAGAACGTCACATGAGGAGAGGAAAACTAAATAGGAGGAGGGAGAGGATAAAAGGGAAGCAGCAGTAAGAGGGAACGTCATCTCAGAGCAGCGGCATGGGATGAACATACTTCTGTAGCTTGTGTCTGTCACACGTTAATTATCTTCTGACTTACTTACATCAGAACCAAAGTGATGGCATTAGCAAAAAGAAGGAGCAACGAGGAACCTGCCTGCGTGAGTTTACTCCGTCACTCCCACTACGGGGAAAGTGAAAGGAAGGATGTGGACAGAGGTGGGGGAGATAAGTTAGAGGAGTTCAGTGGTTTCAAAGATAAAGAGGAGGAACGAGGCACTGATGATGAAGGAAATGACTTCTCAACTCTGGAAGAAACATCAATCAGCAAGGAGCAGAAGACTTCCAGGTAAGAGGTGAAAGGTCAAAGGTTAGAGTTCAGGTTGGAAGATTTTAAATGAATAAGCAATAACGAAAAATGAATTATATATTTTTTCCAAATATGGAGATGTTCAAATAAAATTTGACTCATTACTTTGCATAGTATTAGGCAACACATTCTCACTCCCAGCGCGTCAAAAACAAACGCTTGGTCAGCCACCCTCCACGTCAGACCCCAGACACCAAAAGTGCCCTTTTTCGTTACTTATGCGCAAAAAGGGGTTTTTCCCTTTTCTGACTGCAGATCCCAATGCAACGTAAAACTGATGCGATGGGATGTCCGCTGATGCGAAACCGAACCAGCTCATTTAACCGCACCTAAACCTTAAAGTTTTACTATTTATAACCTTCCCCTCACCCTCATCCTAACCTTGACCCTCTTGCTACCTAAAACGTTACTCTCACTGTGATCAAGCGTTTGTTTCCCATGCATTCTGACTGTGAGTTTTCATATTTGCCGCCCAAGGGGAACGTTAGAACATACCATCTGGCGAGGGGGAGGTTACAAATACCCTCTGCTTTTAACCTCCACCGTGGTAGCTGAAACCTCCCCCTCGCGTTGCCTCGGTCCAAACCCGACCAATGACGAGGCGGCTACCGCCGTTCACTTCATAGGGCCGGCTTTTAGAGCGACCGACACATCACTAACGTGTTAGCTAGCAAGATGGTTAACGTTAGGATAGGGGTGAGGAGAAGGTTAAATAACAAGAGGGTAAGGTTAGGGTGAGGTACAATGAGCTAATATGGTGCCCTAGCTGCGGACATCCCATCGCGTCAGTTTTACGCTGCATTGGGATCTACAGTCAGAAAAGGGAAAAAAAACCCTTTTCGCACATAAATGACGAAAAAGGGCACTTTTGGTGTCAGGGGTCTGAGGCGGAGGGTGGCTGACCAAGCGTTTGTTTTTGACACGCATAAATGACCCTCACTTGTATAGCGCCTTTCAGAGTCAGAGGACTCCAAAGCGCTTTACACTACAGTGTACCATTCACACTCTGATGGTAACAGCCCTGAGGCGCACTGACAGAAGCAAGGCTGCTGAGCACAGGTACCATGCCGCCGGTTCCTCTGACCACCGCCAGCAGACAAATTACGTCAAGTGTCTTGCCCAAGGACACAACAGCAGCATTCTCTACTGGGAGCCGGGATTCATCCTACAAACATCTAATTACTGGACAACCCGCTCTACCTCCAGAGCTACTGCTGATTACCCCAAATTGATTAAATAGGACATGTTGGTGGTAAAGAAGAAAAAGCTGATTGTTGATAATATACTGTAAATCCTCTAATATTGGCCTGTATTCAATTAACTGCCGGGTATCATATTTTGGCCGGTGTCGGAGTCGGCGGAGGTGAATAATGGCCGGTATTTTATTGTGGCCGGGTGGAATGTGGTAACAAGCAAGTACTGGGGGCGGTTGTGCCATCCGTCTCACTTTTGATTTGCCAGTGATAGACCGCGAGGGTAGCTTTAACCGTGCGGAGACGAAGAGGAGGCGAAAATTTGATATCAAGTTCAAAGAGAACGTGCTGATTATGCTGCAGAACACTCTGGGGAGCAGTAGGGGTTGTATGAACTAGTCACTAGTCGACTTCACTGCTCTATAGTGACTTTTTATGCCTGTCATCGACTAGTCGCTGTCACGTGATAATGACCGGCAAGATGCAGACCTCGGAAAAGACAGCAGCCTGCTGTCAGCAGGTGACAAGCTCCTGCGCATCGGGGGGGCAGCGCGCTGTGCCAGAGCGTCGGTACTGACACGCTATTGTTCATGTCGGCTCATTTCCTTTAATGTTTTCTGTCTTTTATTTGCGCCTGACGCGTTTCGCTGCTGTGGAGCGGGGAGCATCACCTTGTCCTCCGACGCACCGATCACTGATGCGGCCGCCAAGCAGCGAGCACTCCGCTGTTTTTGCGGTAGGTAGATCTGCGTCCTGAGCACGGCCACGGTAACATTATCAAATCAGGTGTCACCACCTCAAAAACTAATTTAACACGCAATCGTTCATGTCGGCTCATTTCTTTTAATGTTTTTTGTCTTTTATTTGCGCCTGATGCGTTTCGCTGCTGTGGAGCGGGGCGCATCACCTTGTCCTCCGGTGACGCACCGATCACTGATGCGGCCGCTAAGCAGCGAGCACTCCGCTGTTTTTGCGGTCGGTAGATCTTTTAGAACTGCAGTTCAAAGGTAACTCATAAGGTGAATATATATGAACCCAGGTAGCAGTTTTTCTTTAGGACTGAAAGGAGATGCAGGAAGATAATAAACAGACAGGACAGAAAAATAGTCAAATAAAAACAAGCAGAAGCAGAAACTACCGTTGTTAAAAGAAATGTGTTTAACTTTGAAAATGTGGGCGCAATTTTAATTGTCAAAAACTCCAGCGAACCATTAGTTCATTTTGCTCAAATAGAAATAGAGGCCTGCCTCTAATTCTGGTCCTCCTTCCAATAAAGGCCTGGAGCTTGATGAGCTTGAGCCAAATACAGGCCCGGGCCTGTATTAGAGGATTTACAGTAATAATGTATTTAAATGTCACTGCAGCTGTTTGCAAGGTAGCTGTTTAGCTTTTATCGTTTACATAAAACTTCCGAGTACAACAAAAATAAAAACTGATGCAAGATGATGTTCAGGATCAAAACTAACTTTGAGGTTTGCAGAAGGTTCTGTTTCATTTTATTTTTAATCAGAATATTACAAAAATAAAACTTAACGTCCCAAATTAACTAACGAACGTTTTAGAGGTAATTGAATGTGTGATTGCTGAGTCAGCTTTTCAAATCCATCCAAACCTTCGTGCTAAAACCTGAGTCAGCTATTAGACTTCATTTCAGGTAATATTAGCAAGCTGCCGTCACGAGGTGAGTTGGGTGACAATTTGCTGAGCAGAAAAGCGCCTTCAAAATGGAATCAGGAAACCCAACAAATATTTAAATTACAATCGCCTGCTTTTCTCACTGAACTGCCCACATAACAGAGGGAGGAGTGAACACACGCGCCCGCACTCACTAAAGAAAGGCGTGACAGCAGCTTTTCTTCAAACAGCAAACTGGAAAACAGAAGACAGATGGAGTCAGCTATAAAACATTTTATTATTATTTTAATGATGTTTAATTCATAATCCAGGCTTTTATAAAACGCGTTTGGAGTTTATCAGTACAATAAAAAGTTTTCCTTTTAGTTTAGTCCTCCTCAGGAATCCGTTACTGAAACTTTAATTTCTCACCAGCCTGCCGCAGCCGCCCATCAGGGGCATGAGCGCGGAGGAGACGGGCCGGCTGCGCGCCCTCTTCCGCGCGTACGACGTCGACAAATCGGGACGGATTGACAGAAACGAGTTCGTCGCCATCTGCGCGGAGCTGCAGGTGTCCGCGGCGGAGGCGGACACCATCTTTAAACGTCTGGACGCGGATCAGGACGGAACTGTGACCCTGAAGGAGTTCCTCTGCGGCTTTAAGGACATGGACCCTGCAGCAGGAGACGCGTCCATCGCCTGGGGAAACTTCCAGAGGAGGCTGGGCGAGCTGGCCAAGTACATCCCGAGGTGAGAGCGCACCTGTTGGGAAGAATATGGACATTTCCTGGCGATAGGCACAGAGAGGACAGTGTGTTTGAAGCTAGGGCCCAGTTATTGTCCTCACAGGTGTATACAGGTTAAATAAAGGGAAAATGTTCCCAATATCATCTAAAACCACCATACCTGGGTGTCAAAAGTTAATGGAAACCTTAGTTTCACTCTATAAATTATAATCCTTTTGAAATATTAATTACTAATGTCTATATTTTACATTATTCGTGGTAACAAGCCTTTTAGATGCCAAAAGTTGACTAAATGAAATATTTTACAGAATGTGTCACTTCAAAGAATAAGCACAGGAAATATTTTAAGGAGGGCTGCATTCCACTTCTGCAGCTACTCCAGCCTTTTGCATTATGCTCTAAATGGAATGCAGCCTTCTTTGACCCAAGTGCTCCGTTAGGACAAGATTTTTGACATGAAATAAAGATGTAAAAGTATACAGAGGACAGCTTTTATGATCAATTGTTAAAAATCACACGTTTCTTTGTCAGATCTGCTCGGATTTGGTTTTAGTCCAAATGGAATTTGTATAGTGACATCAACATATTACTCAAGTTATGATGCTTCTGGGAAAATATTCCCAAATCCTGGTCACGCCTGCTTTACTCGTTTTCCTGGTCTAATGCAGGACTTTCCCGGGATATTTGAATCAGGTGTGTTGGAGCAAAGAAACATCTTTTATTTTATTTTTTATTTTTTACCCACGCCCTGTCTGGCTGTGAAGCAAACAAAATTGACGTCTGAATGCTGGTGACAAGCCTTACAGATTTACTCTCAGGTGGAGCATCAAAGCTTCTGCTTTAATGTCACGCCTGATACTTAAAACTTTATTATTGTTTTTTTAATGCTTTATAATTCTGACCAGACATGGAGACAGAGGTGAAAGAGGAAGGAAGAGACAAGGGGGTTGGGGGGGGGGGGGGGGGGGTCCCACAAAAATAAACAATCAATGATGAACAAGAGTCTGCTTCTAGACCTGCAGAAGGAGAGAGAAAAGAAGGGGACACACATCAATACAACTGGAGCACACTATCACTGCGTCAACCTGATGAGAAAAAACATTGCTTTACTGAACAATCACACAATAGTAAGTCACAGTGCATTTAGTGCCAGCCACAGCCTCAAGACATGTGTTGAAAATGCCCAAGTCCATACCATGTGAGCACCTGTGTGTGTACACGCGCTTGTTTATGTAAGGTTTCTCTATAGGAGCATCCAACAATAGAGAGTGTGAGGGGCCACAGATCTGCCCCCCCCCCCCCCCCCCCCCCCCCCAAGATGAGTAGGAGATGGAGGGAGCTCCAAGTCCCAGAGATCCTGGAGCTGCCCCAGAGCACAGGGACCCCAGGGAGACTGTAACCAGAAAAGCCCCAGCCCCCTCTCGAGAGGGGCAGAGGATCGCCCCGGGGGGTCACAAACAGCAGCCGGCAGAGTCCTGGGAGATATCAGCGGCAAGCCCACAGGCCCGCCCGCAGCCTCCCACCCCCTAGCCGGCCAAACCCGGAACCGAGCGACCCGGGACCCAGGGGCGACCAGCCCCCCCGGGGACCCAACAGAGCCCAGGGACTCAGATCCCACCAGGCAGCCACCGGGATTGATCAGACAGACTCCAAAAATCTTAAACCCCCTGACCCGGGAGCCGCGAACACTCAGGCAGACCAAGGCACCACACTCCACACCAAATGTGGCAGGGGGAAGGCAGGCGAAGATGTGTAGCAGCACAAGAAGTCCCAGGAGGGGGGAGGAGTCCAATACCCCACCTGACATACACAGCCATACACAGACACAGTCACACACTCCCTCCCTCATGCTCCCACATACACATACAACCTAAGACTTACAAAAATGAATGCCGGACAACCACTCATGCTCCCCATATACACCCTATTCACTCTGGTCCCAGTACTGCTGCACATGGGGTACAGCCATCACTGGTTCCCAGAGTTCACCCCTTTCTGCTGGGGTGATGATGAGCAGGCTACCCCGCCCAACACTGAACAAAGCAACCCACCACCCCAGACCCCAACAAGACGGCCAGCTCCCCCTCCTAACTTCCAGCCCTGGGAAGCCAAGCGACAACAGAGGTGTGCTAAGAGCCCTAGTCTCCCTCCGCTTGCTCCAATGCAGTGTTAGTGTGTGTTGATGAGGTGTATTCCATGGCTGTGGTGAGCAGGCAGTGCGAGCATAGTCTGGCCTACGCCAGCTGATGCCAACACCACCCCTCTTCCTCCCACAGCCCTCTGTGTCTAAGTGCCGTTTAAAATTGGAAGTGGGCACTGGCAGTCGGGATGAGGCTGAAATATCCCCTTGCCAAATGCCGTTGAGTGTGCTGACTCCCAATGCCCTAAGTGTGTGTTTGCGTGGACTGTCGTTGGTGTAAGTGTTTAAAGTGCAAATAAAATTGGGGGGCAGGCTGCCACAGGAATGCGGAAATGGGATCCATACCCACACCCCTGACTTGCCCACCCCCCAAAGTCCTATGTGAATGTTTGTGTGATGATGTGAAATAGCAGGAGGAGAAAAATGTATGGGGATGGGGAGGAATGGCTGGTTGGCCTAAGCTCTCCAGGGAGCCAGCTCCCCCACTGGCCCCAATAGGGCATGGAGACCCCAGCCCTGAAGGTCACACCAAAGCCCGCACGAACAGGTGAATCTTCAGCTGCTTTTTAAAGGAGACCACTGAGTCCACTGATCTCAGGCTCTGGGGGAGAGAGTTCCAGAGTCTTGGGCCCACAGCAGCAAATAATCTGTCACCTTTGGTCTTTAGCCTGGTGCTGCACAACCAGTAGGCTAGTTTAACACTAGTCATGCACACACACGCTCACACCTCGAGACAGCTTTAGATGCTTTATTTACACTTCTGTCAGTTTGTGTTTTGTTAAAGCATGACATCTTTATTTGTAGTCGTGTTGCTACGGTTACACAAACTGCAGCTTAATATGTTTGTCTTTTATCAGCTGGTTCTAACAATATTTAGTTTGGTCACTGAACACAACATGGAGCAGGTCCATGGGCGTAAGTTTTTCCAACGTTATTTTTTGTCCCCTGCACTTTTTACCTTTCAAAAACAACATTACGCTATATCAAACAGACTGGTTGAGCACTAGGACCAAGAGTTTAGCTATAATCTGATGTAAATGAGCTTTATTGATCAGATATTCAAAAAATACATGTAAAATGGTGACAATGAGTAGGAATGAAAATGACTAACAAGATGAATTGAAATTGAAATTATTAGTCTTTTTGTTTTACAGAATGCTCTAATGGGAAACAGGCTTCAACACAAACGGTTGTTTTCTGCTTGGTCCTAGAGCTCAACCAGTGTCAGTTTAATATAGCGTAATATTGTTTTTGGATGGTAAAAAGTGCAGGGGTCCAAACTTGACTTAGGAAAAAGTGGGGGGGACATGTCCCCCCTGTCTCCCCCCCCAAAATTACTTCCATGCCTGGAAGGATTCTTGGGGGGGGGGGGGGGGGGGGGGGGGGGGGGGGGGCAGTATTCAGCCAGTCCATCGCAGGGCAACACAGAGACACACAGGACAAACAACCATGCACACACACACTCACACCTAGGGACAAGTTAGACAGACCAAGTAACCTAACAGTCATGTTTTTGGACTGTGGGAGGAAGCCGGAGCACCCGGAGAGAACCCACGCATGCACAGGGAGAACATGCAAACTCCATGCAGAAAGATCCCAGGCTGGGAAGCGAAACCAGGACCTTCTTGCTGCAAAACAACAGCTCTAACCACTGTGCCCCTGCGCAGCCTTAATAATAATAATAATAATAATAATAATAATAATAATAATAATATAATGATAATAATATAATAATAATAATAATAATTATGTAATAAAGATGTTTTTTTAATGTTTATATGGCTTTAAATGAGCCAACACATATAAAGGAGGCCCCATTAGTGTGTAGCATAACATCCATAATATTCAAGAGCTTCTATAGACCATCCCTGACAACCACCTCTGTTTACATCTGTTTGCGTGTAACCTCCATCATCGTGACTGTGACACAGCGTGAAGCTGCAGATGTGTGTCACCAGGTAGGGGATCATCAGTGCTGGATGTCAGTGTCTATATGCACAGGATTACAGCCGCTCTTCCTCTTTACTAGACAAACACACACACTTGTGCTCACTTATGGAAGTCCGATTTATAATTGTGTCTGTACAATGACATGCAGCGGATCAGCAGTGAGACAATAAAATATATTCAAATAAATAAACTACAGCTGATTGTTGAATGGCCACCTTTAGCTCTTTTTAAAACATTTAACATTAACAGATTTCTTGATTCTTCTTCTCCAGGCACGAGCAGGCCGTCACGTTGTACCAGAACATCAGCCTGACTGAGCCCAGACTGATTCCCCAGTTTGAGAAAGTCATCATTAACTTTACCAGAGAGATCAAACAGCAGAACTCAGAGATGGAGAACCTGGCGCTCGCCATCAAACGGTAAAAGAGGACATCACTTTAAAGATCCATCTTTATATCTGTCAATGGATGTGCTGTTGAAGGTATTGCGGAGGATGTTTCTGAATTTCAGGGAAAACAAATGCACGTGAGAGAGAACGCCCAGTTATCCTCATGAACACTCTGCTTACAAGCAGCTGCCGGCCATGCAGCACTTCTTCTAGCAGTAATCTGAAATGAATTTCTCCAAATAGCATGCTGAACTTTAGCTTACCTGTCGAGCCAGCGACCGAGGCGTCTGTGGGGAACCCAACCTTCACCTTCAGCGCAAGCCATCATTAAAAAAGAGTCTTCTATAAAAACTATGATCTTATTTCTAACTTCGGAGGTCTCTTTCTCTTCTTATCATAGGCGTATCGCTCTACATATAAACAGAATGTGCAGGAGGGAAAACTAATCCAGGAACAAGCTTCACCAGAATGATTGACAGTCAAGCAGACCAAAGATGTTCCACTCGGAAGAAGATAGTCCTTCACTATACCTGCTGTTAATGTACCTTAAAACAGTAATCCGTAGTTGTATTATCAGAGGGAACAATCTCATCATCAGTAAGTATTTGACACATCAGCATTTTTATCATGAGGGTCGGCTATTGACGCAAAATGCGCACCAGATGTTGCCGTCAAGCCAAGAATTGAATTCATATGAAGACATTGGAACATTTAAGTAAATAATAATAATAAAATGAAGTGATAAAGGGAATATGTATTGAATACACTTTATTTAATACATTGTAGAAAAGTCTTTGTTGGTGATTACAGCTTCTAGACGCCTCTTGTGTGGAGAAACCAGTCATCTGCAATGCTCAGGAGGATTCTGGCCCCTGCCCCCACACAACCACTCAATCTTGAAGGTTCCTTGGGCCTCTTTTATAAATTTTGATCCTCAGTTCTTTCCATAGATTTTCTATGGGATTTAGGTCGAGTGATTGACTGGGTCATTCAAGTTTGCTTACTTTAAAACCAGTTCATTGTTTCCTTGGCCTTGTGTTTGGGATTATTGTACTATAAGATGACATCCAACTTTACATCTCCTTTAAGCCCCATGAGATGTGTAAGCTGCAGCTGTTACACACCTGCTTAGACTCTATCAAAACCTGGATGGCTGGGAGCTTTCTTCAGCTGAATGAAGATGAGACTGAGATCCTCATCTGTGCCCCAGACAAGCTGGTTCTCAAAGTCAGAGACTCTCTTGGTCAGCTTGCTTCCCACAACAAACCTTCCGTCAGGAATCTTGGTGTGACCTTTGACCCAGCTCTCACCCTGGATTCTCATGTCAGTTCTCTTGTTCGTCTTCCTTCTTCCATCTCAGGAACATTGCTAAGCTGAGTCCCATTCTGTCCCGCTCTGAACTTGAGACAGTTATCCACACCTTCATCTCCTCACGCTTAGACCACTGTAACTCTCTTTTCACGTGTCTGAGCAGAACCAAGTCCTCCAAACACTCCCACATCACCCCGCTTCTCCTCCAGCTTCACTGGCTGCCAGTCAACTTCAGAGTTCATTTCAAGATCCTGGTTCTGGTCTATTGGGCCTTACATGGACAAGCACCATCTTACATTGGTGACCTTCTTAGTCCCTACACCCCCAGCAGGTCCCTGAGGTCCAGTGATCAAAGCCTACTGGTTGTGCAGCACCAGGCTAAAGACCAAAGGTGACAGATCATCTGCTGCTGTGGCCCCCAGACTCTGGAACTCTCTCCCCCTGAGCCTGAGATCAGTGGACTCAGTGGTCTCCTTTAAAAAGCAGCTGAAGACTCACTTGTTCAAGCTGGCTTTTGTATGACCTTCTTCACCACTCTCTCTTTATTTTGCTCTCCCCACCTATTCCACCTTCCTCAGGATCCACTGATTTCCCTCTTTCCTATTCACTCTCTCTCTCTCTTAACATTTTTTAATCACAGTTGCCTATTTTTGCTTATTTTAAATTAATTTTTAAACATTTTCTAAATTCTTTTTTATATTTTTTGTTTTTGTGAAGCGCCTCGTGATTTTTTTCTTGAGAGGCGCTATAGAAATGTTATTTTCTTCTTCTTCTTATAAGGAAATGTCCACCCTCTTTTCATTTTCAGCTTTCTGGTAGGTACATTTCGCCATTCTGACTGTAATAATACAAAGTCTACCAATACCTCTTGCTGAAAAGCAGCCCCACACCATGATGCTTGTATGTATGTATATATATAATTTTATCAAATGAGGTTAGACAGCGAAGAATACTGTCGCAGATCCTGTTCAATATGTATATATGGATGAACTATCTGTTAAATTAAAAGAGTGCAGGGCTTGTTGTGTGGTGGGAAATCAGTTGTTCAATCACCTCATGTATGCTGATGATTTGGTGGTATTTTCCCCATACAGTGCTGGTCTGCAGCAGCTGCTTGAGGTGTGTACTTGCTACGAGAGAAACATGACATTATATTCAACCCCAAAAAGAGTGCTGTCATCATCAGAACAAAAGATGATCAAAAAGGAACATTTCCCTCCTTTTACTTGGCCAATCAGGTTTTGGATGTTGTTCACAAGGTGAAATAGTTAGGTCACTAGCCTAGTGAACTAGACCAAATTCTTGCTTTGCAGTCTAGGCATGCTCCATTGGAACCTCAGCAGCTCCTACCAGGACTCTGGCTAGCCAATCACAGCTCTCTAGAGGGGTTTCAAACACATAAAGAGCTGTGATTGGTCCATAATGGTGGGCCAATCACAGTGCTCTATCTGCTTAGTGAACAAATCACAGAGCTTTATCCGCTTTGTGGGCCAATCAGGGCACTCTATACGCCTGGTGGGTGGGATGATGCAACAGAGTGAAACAAGAGTATGTCACATTCATTGTCCAGTGGAATGCGGAGATCATTTGAAAGACAACGGTAGAACCCGCCCCACAACCGAGAGCCGTCAATGGAGCATGGCCAGACTAAATAATACATTTATTTAGGCTAGTTAGGTCACATAATTAGACATGATCTGTGTGATGATGATGCTGTAGAATGTGTGCCTAAGCTAATATGCTAGCCCGAAAATTCTATATGTGCACAGAAGATGTCAAGATAGCTTACTGTTCTCCACTTTATACATCTCAGTTATGGTGTCAGTTTAAGATGGAAAAGATGAGAAAGTTAAAGGTTGCATATAATGATGCATTCAGGATATTACTCAAACTCCCAAGATGTACTAGTGCGAGTCATGTGTTTGCAATGTGTAATGTACCTGGATTTAATGCTGTATGGAGGAATTTCATGCACAAATTCATGTGTACATTAAATAGCTCAGATAATGTGATAATCAAAGCATTAGCCTCTCCTGCACACAGTGACACCAGATATACATTGTATTACTGGAAATATTGGATTAGTGCTCTCTATACATTTTAGTCTACTTGATAACTTTGAGCTTTTATCTAGCTATTATTCTTATTCAGTCTTTTAAATTGATATATTTTATTGTATACATTTTATTTTATCTATTTATTGTTCTTGTATTTTAATCAATGTTTAAATGTTTTTGGACCGATGTGTCTGTTAATAAAGCATTCAATTCAATTCATATATATGTATAGGGGGCTCTATCATTTTGACAGATTTCTAACACATCATACAAAATTCCTGACAAGGGGGAAAACTCCAGATTGCAGACTGAAATCCTTGTAGAATATTTATTAAATACAGAAATTTTCTTCCTTTTTCAGAGCACAGGATCAAGCGTCGATGCAGCTCAGTGAGATGGAGGAGGAGATGGACCAACGGATAGAATCTGCAGAGAGGAAAGCCCGAGAGCAGGTGAGACGAACCCAGACACATTTCAAGTTTTGGTCTTTGGCGCTGGTAGCCTCTCTGGAGTTTGTGCAGTCAGAGTGATAAGAGGCTCTGGATTTGTTCAGCTCTTCCCTCATGTCAAACAAACATATCAGTTTACTGGTCCAAACTCAGACACGCCTGCCGATCAGGCGGATTTCACCAGCTGGTGGACAGATGGAGTTGCTGGAGCATGTTTGATCCTCCAGTTTAAAGTGATAAGGCTGTGTAGATAAGATCAGGCAGCTGCTGAATATAAAATGTGGATAAAAATGACAATAATGTGCACTTGGTGGCATTCCTTCACTGTGGATACAGAACTAAACTGCAGGTTGGACCTTGCAGTTCCAGGAAAAAGAAAATTTTAATTTGTTATAAAAACTTCTGAAAGAATCGTCACAAGAAAAGTAGTAACTTGTTGTTAAAGAGCAAGTCACCCCCTACCAGTCTTACTCCACTTCCAGTTCCTGTTTGAAAAATGCAACAAACTCTGTTGCCTGGCAGACCGAGAGGGCAGAGCTGCTAACACACACACACACACACACACACACACACATACACACACACACACACACACACACACACACACACACACACACACACACACACACACACACACACACACACACAGGCTCACAATGACATTGTGACATCATAATGTCCTAACCTAACGTTATAGCATACCCCTTAGCCTCTAGCGATGGCAGTTTTAAATTCAAATGCAGTGCAGAATTTTTACCGGAAGATGGCGCGCTACTGACAGTTTTAGGCAGAATATGTAAATTTTAACTGAGATGCACTAAAGTGCCAAATGATTGATTACATGTGTCTACAGCATGATTAGACACTCATTTATATAGTTCAGCAAAAAAAAGTTGAGTTGGGGGTGACTTTCTCTAAGTGTTTATTCTGTTTAAATTACGAATGAAAATTATGATAAAAATCTGCAAGAATATGAGAGAAATGTTCCTTCTCAAGACCATTTCAACTCGTTTCTGTGAACCTTAATAAAACATTTTGAGAGAAAACTGTTTCTAAACATATGAGAAAAAAGACACAAAAATTGTATTTGTTCTACTCATAAAATCTTTACATAAGGTCTGGGTGGATTTAATTGCTTTTTCAGACATTTTTGCAGTTGTCTGAGGTTATATGTAGCCTGAGGAGTTAAATGTCTGTCTCTTAACTGGAGGATTTCAGGATCAAGGATCCATATTTAGCCAAACCGACTCACAAAGGAGGTTTTATTTATCAAGTTGCTTAAAAACTGATGAACAATAAGAAAACAAACAGATTAGTCTGTGACTCATGGACGTAATTCTCACTTTAGAAGTGGGGGGGACGGGGGGGGGGGGGGGGGGTGTCTTTACAGTATGCTCTAATGGGAAACAGGCTTCAACATAAATGGTTGTTTTCTGCTTGGTCCTAGAGCTCAACCAGTGTCAATTTAATATAGCGTAATATTGTTTTTGGATGATAAAAAGTGCAGGGGTCAAAACTTGACTTTGGAAAAAGTAGGGGGGACATGTCCCCCCCCCCCCCCCCCCCCCCAAAAAAAATTACGTCCATGCTGTGACTTCACACGTTCTTACACTTACAAACAAAATTATAATTACTGCATATATTATTATTCTTGGAGAATTATTTCACATTATTCATATTCAGCCTCAAAGCGTTGTGCAATAAAATAACAAAACAGAAAAAACAATGAATAAAACATCAGGAAAAATCTAATAAACTGCTTTTTAAAAGCATCCAGACTTGATACAGGAAGTTCTAATTATTTGAACTAGTTTACTCTTTATACAAACATGTCAGCCTGTATCTGTCGATACCACCCCTTTCATTTAACACTTTATACATTCAGTTGGGTTTGTGTTGATACAAGCAAACTAAACCTGACCCAGTTAGGGGAACTGAAACTAATGGCTGAACTGGTACAAAAACTCAGGCTGCAAAAAAATAAAGAGCAAGACTCAAACACAATTAGCTGGAAATTTGCACCATTATTACTCCATCCAGTCATGTTTTTGGACTGTGGGAGGAAGCCGGAGTACCCGGAGAGAACCCATGCTTGCACAGGGAGAACATTCAAACTCCATGCAGAAAGATCCCAGGCCGGGAAGCGAACCCAGGACCTTCTTGCTGCAGGGCAACAGCTCTAACCACTGTGCCCCTGCGCAGTCCACCGTTGTTTTTATTAAAGCATTTCTAATCAGACTAAAACTATCAGTCTTAAATAATCTCAAGTAGAAAGTAATTCAAGCTCCGCAGAGCTAAAAGTATAAACATATAGAGTAATAGAGTTCACAGTGGGATGATAAAGAAGGAAACTTGAGGATTGACAAGCCTTGTCATTGTGTGCAAGAAAAGTGTGTAAATAAAAACGACGACAAGTGTAATGGGGAAATAGCTAGAGAGCCGTGTTGACGCAATGACCCAAACATTGAAGATGATGAAGCAGGAAGTAAAATAAAGCAGCAGACAGAACAGGCTGACCTGATGAGAGATGAGCTGCAGCTGAACTGAAATCAGTAAAGCCGGGTGTACACTGTATGACTTTTTCACTTTTCTGAGCTGATTTTCCCCTCGTGTGAGAATCTACAAGATCAAGGCGAGTTTTGCACTGAGTGTCATGTAGTATAGGGTTACGAGAGGCGATTAACGCCACGTGACCTGCTACCAATCAGCAATCGTAAGCTCACACACATTTCTGCCGTGTTTGATATTTTGCTCGCCCCTCAAGAGGATATCTCACTTTTGAAGCGCTGCTGCGAACAGCTGCGACCCAAAAAGTACCAGAAACGCTCACGGCGCATGCACAAACATGCGTCAACACGGCTCGCTAGCTATTTCCCCATTACACTTGTCGGTCGTTTTTATTTACACACTTTTCTTGCACACAATGACAAGGCTTGTCAAGAAAGTGTGTTTGCCATGTTTATGTAAAATTAAACCGATAAAATGTTGATTTAATTTCTTTCTTTCATTGTCCTCATCCAACTGCCATGAATCTCTGTGTGTCCTATGGCATTTCAGAAGGACAACAGACATCAATAACAACACAAAAAAGTCCGGCATGTTGTGTAAAAACGGCTAATATTAGCATATTTATAAGTCTGACATGTTGCTACCAGACAGACGTACAGTGTGAGCAGTCAGGTCGCATCCGAGAACTGGGTCGTACATTATGAGCAGGGCTGATAAGTGAAAAAGTCGCACGGTATCCGCCCAGCTTTACAAAGACAGGAAAACCACATTCTGACTCTTCAAAATAAAACAGGAAATGGAGCAAACGCAAAGCAGGAATCTTCAAGTACAATGAGGCTAAAATGTTTTAAAGTCAGAAAACAAAATTTAATAATTAGAGAACACTTTACAATAAGGTTCCCTTTAATGGCGTTACTTAGTGCATTATTAAGCATTAATAAACTAAGGGTCCCTTAACGTTTCCATTATTGTTAACTATTAAGTGTCTTTAAGGTCAGAACAAAGAGCCGGGTGGGTGTCTGTTTAGTAATGCGTTACACAATATTAACATTGATATTAAGCAGTTGCTAATATCATTTAATAGTTTATTAATGCTTAATAATGTCCTAAGTAATGTTAATAAAGGGACCCATTTTGTAATGTGTTACCAAAGCTAAAAAATACTAGAGAAAATGTTGTTTATCTGTAAGTTAAACTGGTTTTTATAAAGATTACCATCACATGATCTGAAACCCTTATTTAGTCTCTAATTCCCACAAACGCAAAAGCAACAATATTGATTTTTAAAAGTGACGATTCTGGTCTTATTTCTTACAATCAGGACTTTAAGATGAATAAATGATTAAACTGTTACAGGAAGTCATTAACAGGCATCATTTTGCAAGAAATAAGGAGGGAAAGTTTTGCCAGATCAGTCTTTAACTCATTCACAGGCCCTAATTTAATCGTATAACGAGCAGGAACTTCAATCTAGTCTGGCCGCGGTGCGGATGTGTTATATAAGTGTTCTGACTCAGAAGTTTGTTTTGTCCTAAAATAGCTCAGCAGGTCAGAGGGCACCCACCTTATCTGCTCTGAGTTTACTTCAATCAGACATTTCCCAGGCACATTTCTCTAGTTTGTTTATTGTTATCATTATTTTTGTATTTTAAAGTGTATGTAAGTGTGTGTGTATGTGTATGTGGGGGGGTGTTATTCCTCTTTATTTTTGTGGGATTTTAGCTTTATCAATAAAATTTGATTGATTTTGGAAACAGTGATTATCAGTTGTTCAGAATAAGCTCAGTGAGGTATTAACTCATGAGACAAAAAGGATTTTTGGAGTGAATTTATTTATTTATTTGTTTGCTTGTTTGAGGGAAGTCAGACCTCATAAATATGAATACAATTTATTATTTCAAAGTCAAGTTAAAGAGTTGACAAATTTAATGAAAAAAAATGTAAAAAAAAAACAATTATTCTTAGTCAAAATCTAAGTGTGTCTTTAAATTATAACAGATCTAAGTTGAATTAAAATTATGGAAGAAGCCGTGGTCCTCTAATGAAGCTGCAGGGTCTCAGGAGGAATGAACTGTTGGAACATAGTTATGTAGTTTTGTGAATTTGGGCTTTTACATGTGTGTGTGTGTGTGTGTGTGTGTGTGTGTGTGTGTGTGTGTGTGTGTGTGTGTGTGTGTGTGTGTGTGTGTGTGTGTGTGTGTGTTTTAGGAGAAGAAGCAAACAGAATCCGCCCTGAATGAATTACGGAGAAGTTATGAGACAGAAGTGTGTGAGCTGCAGTGTAAGATCCAGAGGATGCAGATGGTATATTCTTATTTATATTTCAATTAAGCCCTCCAACAAACGCAGTCACGATGATATGGTGCTGGAATATCTTAATTCTGAATATTTCTATTCCCTCATTAGATTGAGGAGAAATACAAAACCATCACAGTGAAAGATGAGGGCACCGCTCTGAAGAAGAAGATCAACGAGCTAACGCTGGTGAGTCTAAACACCCTCTAAAGCAGGGCTGTTCCATTCCGGGCCTGGAGGGCCGGTATCCAGCATGTTTTGGTTTTAACCCTGCTTCAACACACCTGATTTCATTCAGCAGGTGATTTACAGGCTTCTGCAGAGCCTAATGAGCTGCTGCACAGGTGTGTTGGAGCAGAGGAACCACTAAAACGTGCTGGATACCAGCCCTCCAGGCCCGGAATTGAATAGCCCTGGTCTAAAGGCTTCTGTCTTGGTCTATTTTACTGACCTTTTTGTTGTTTGTGCAGGAAAACCAGAGATTAAAACAGGAGCTGCTGAAGTCTCAGACCAATGTTGCATGCTTACAGAGCGATATGGACTCTCTGAAGACGGAGCTAACAGACCAAAGCATCAATTCAGAACGGTAGGAGCATTAAGTCCATTCAGATTAAATCTTACTTGATAAATATGGCTTCTGTTCAAGAAAGAAAACAAGTTTTTATTTAAGATTCTTGCTGAGAAAGTGTTTATGAATGTCATTTTTGTGAAATGCATTCATTTCATTCTCAGCAGATGTCTCATTTTCATTCTAAACTCTGAAAATTAAAAGATGGACTAATTAGAATTGTCCTCTATTTCAAGCTTAACTTAAAACATGCTAAGAACATGCTAAATATGCCCTCGAGCTGCTCATTGTGTATCAGAGAGACAGACCCAGAGCTTCCCTGGAGGTTTTGTTTTGTCAAACTTGAAACAGGATATCCTGGTGTGACTTCACACACACAGTAACTTCTTCAGGAGGGTTGCTTAGCAACAGAAGCAACAGAGCCAGAGGCTGTGTAATGGCCCGCCTCTGTGGACCGACTCATCATCATGACACAGTTGATTCTTTATGAGGATAATCTGGGTGGAGGAGATGCTGCTACTCTGACCTGACAGTTAAAGTTGGGTTTTGTTTGGACAGATTTGGTCGTTTTAGGGGAAACTTTTGGAATTTGCGGTGACTTTAAAGAGCAAGTCACCCCCAAATCAACTTTTTTTTGCTGATAAACTATATAAATGTGTGTCTAATTGTGCTGCAGACACGTGTAGTCAATAATTTGGCACTTCAGTGCATCTTAGTTAAAATTTAAATCTTCCGCCTAAAACTGGCAGTGTTGCGCCGTCGTCAGGTAAAAACTCTGAACTGTATTTGAATTTAAATCTGCCACCGCCATTGGCTAAGAGGTATGTTATGATGTAAACTGGTACATTTTGATGTCACAATGCCAGTGTGTGTGTGTGTGTGTGTGTGTGTGTGTGTGTGTGTGTGTGTGTGTGTGTGTGTGTGTGTGTTAGTGGCTCCGCCCTCTCGGTCTGCCAGGCATCAGCATTTGTTGCATTTTTCAAACATGATGTGGGAGTGAAGTAAGTTTCTTGTAGGGGGTGACTTGCTCTTTAATGCAATATAATTAACAAAAGTTCAGAACTAAATATTAAAATGTATGTTCAATGTTGAGTCAGTCTGAGCTGACTTCTGGAGACACAGATGTCTGAGAAAATGCAAAAACGTTTCCGTTGGAATCACAATGAGTTAGCACTTCAGGCTAATTTTTCTCAGAACACTTTTTTTTAACTTTCCGGTTCACGAAAATAAACTTTAGAAGGATTCTGGAGTTTAGATTTAATGAAATTAAGTTGTAGACTAAATGAGCTGCTTTTCTGCTGAGAATTGGGTGTCAAAACTGTAACATTAAGCATATTTAGATCATTTTTCATTGATAAAGTCTGGTTATGTCACTATAAACATTCAGTATTTGTGTCTTGCTGCAGAGACGAGGAGCTCATGAAGCATTTCTCAGATGAGCGAGACATCCTGGAGAGTCAGATCGAGATCTTGAAGTAAGTCCGTTCCTGAAACGAATCGTGCTGTGCTTGAAGGAATCTGCTTTTACAAAAATGTATGCAAAATAATAAACCCATCTTTAATTTTTTTGTGTGTGTGTGGACAGGATGGCCAACAGGAAGCTCCACGACAGCAACGACGGGCTGAGAGCTGCTCTGGAGAGGATCACACGGGTAAAACTACACAACTTAGTGTAATCCTGTGCAAATGCACGCTTATGCCATGAGATCAGACCACTTTTATCTTTAAATTATTTATTTATAGTGAGTTTACAACATGCAGGATTAATGAAAACTGAAGACGAAGTAACAAAAACTGGAAAATTCTATTTTTTTTATACAGTCTGGTTCAAGCGGATCATCGGAAGGAATCAAGGATAGAAACAGGAGTAAAAGCATCTGCTACACGTCTCAGTACGCACTGCTAGACAGGTACGTGACATTTATGTATGACAGTCATCTGTTTGCATCAATCTGCAAAATTCTGAGCATTTGCAAATTTTGAAAACTTCTGTTTTTCTTCAGAAAGCGTAACTGTGTGTTTGCATGAAAATGCGTGAATAAAATAATTCAATAACAATTATTCTAAAGGATAGATAAATAACATTTAAAAAAACACCTCAGCTGTACTGCTTTTATAGAACTTATAATCATTTAGAGTGATCTAAAAGAGGAATTATTCAGATTTAGGACAAAAAGACTTGATAGTAATGAAAACACCTTCCTGTCAGACTGAGTCAGTGTTTGGACGATTTCCCGCTCTACAACCGCCGGCCCAGCTGTGAAACTCTGGCTTTGGCCATTTGTGACCCCGGCCTGAGGCGCAGACACGGCAGCGAGTGTGAGGAGGACAGCCTCCCTGAGATCTACATGGACAGCGGCCTGTCAACGCTCAGAGGCTCTCACGGAGGCTACGACTCAGAGCAGGAAGGCAAGGCTCAGGAGGAGGAGGAGGAGGAGGAAGAGGAGGAACAGAGGAGGAAGGTTCAGGACAACAACAGTAGCATCCTGGAAGAAAACTCTGACACCGAGGTGAGATAATAATGAATTATAGGACCCAATTTAAAATAATGAAAAACTTGTTTAGATGCTGCTTCTAATAATAAAGCAAACATCTTAATCAAAATTGGGATTAACGTTCGTCTGCGTGTCAGCCTGCAGAAACACAAGACGGAGAATCAGCGTTCGGGTCGGACACCAGCTCGGTTCTGGACTGGAAACCCAGTGACTCACTAGGTTTGATCACTCCTCCCGCCCAGACCACTAAGAAAGCAATCAGTGCCATCAGCGTTCAGGTGAGAGACAGGTGGAAGTTACAGACAAAGAGATGTTTCCACGGAAACGTAAGAGTGAGGAATGTGTTAAGAGAAATGTTGGTGTCCTAAGAGGGTCTTCACTGAGCAGATTAGACTTGAGACCAAATGTTATTACTGTATATTTCTATTTTTGTGGCTCATCAGTGTTAGCTTTCCAAGAAATCGGGATGTGACGTGAAATGTAGTTTCTGGTTCTTTAAACAGTTTATTTGTATTGAAAATAATGCAAAAAATATAAAAAATAAAATTCAAAAGAGACAGAGAAAATTTTAAAGCAAAATTTTTTATTAGATTTTGGGGAAATTTTGGTTCCCAAAAATTGTAATTAGTCTTTTATAGGAACAAAAACATTCCCAAACCACATGACGCACATTGCTGCTTTAACTGGATTTTATTCAATATTACCTTGATATCTGAACATGTCAAATCAACATTTTTTTTCCTGATTAACTATATAAATGAGTAATGCAGACACGTGTAGTCAATAATTCGGCACTTTAATGCATCTTAGTTAAAATTTGAATATTCTGCCTAAAACTGTCAGTGTTGCACCGTCGTCAGGCAAAAACTCAGCACTGCATTTGAATTTAAATCTGCCGTTGCTATTGGCTTAGAGGTACACTATGATGTTAGATGGTACATTATGATGTCACAATGTCGTGAGTGTGTGTATTTGTTAGCGGCTCCAACCTCTCGGTCTGCTAGGCAACAGCATTTGCTGCATTTTTCAAACAGGAAGTGGGAGTTGCGTAAGAATCTGGTAGGGGGTGACTTGGTCTTTAAGGAATAGCTCCTGTTGCATTCAATGACTTTCATTCATTGATCTTTACCAAAATTCCTGACCAATAAAGTAGAAATCCAGATTTTTTTGTAAAAAGAGCACCGCCTAGTGGTGGAAAAATGTACACCACATTAAGTCTCTCCCACTACTTCTATGTTTACATCGGAAAGTAACGCGTCTTGTTCGTGAATGCGTACCTCTTGCCTGCGAACAGAGCTAAAACACATTGTTTTACAGTAATTATCCTCACCTTATGTTGTTTATTCATTTATATTAAAAATATGTGTCCATCACCGCATCAGTCTAGGTACGTCCGCAAACACATAGGTGCTCTCTGTGATTGACAACTGTACGAAAACAGACGTCTAATGCTGAGCTGCCTTCAGTTTAAATTGCATGGGGCTTTTCAGGATGGAGGGCAGGCCTTATCAATAAAAAAAACAATGTTATATCTAAGTACAAGGTAAGACAAATACTGTTCTGGATTTTTTTTTTAATCATACATAATTCCTGGAAGGTGGAAACTCCGGAGTACCAAATAAAACTGCTAAATTACCTGCTGAGTAACTACATTCCTTACTCTCACGCAGCTTAATTCTATTTTTCTCATGTTTTCCTGCAGAACGAGGACAAGGAGAGCGCTGACCTTGGCTACATGACCTCGGAGAAGGCCTACAGGATCGTGTTAGCAGGAGATGCGGCGGTGGGAAAGTCCAGCTTCCTGCTTCGTCTCTGCAAGAACGAATTCAAACTGAACACCAGTGCGACTCTGGGTGAGCTGGAAAAACAAAAACCGACACTTTCCTCAGAGCTCAGAGGTCCACGTTGTCTCGTCCCTTCCTCTGATCCTCATTAGATCTGAATATTAAATGTTTGATTGTTAAGGAAGAGTCAGATGACAGTTTAATGATTAACTTCTGCAGCCACGGGCAAGAACGTTCTGTTATCTGATCCAACATTTCCACACAGCTGCTTCTGTGTAGCTTGACAAGTTTGCTTGTTTTTAGGAGTGGACTTCCAGATGAAGACATTTATTGTAGACGGAGAGCCGGTTTTGCTACAGTTATGGGACACGGCAGGACAGGAGAGGTCTGATCTGGTTATGTTTCATCTGTTAGAACAGAAATCCTTTCATCTGCATCAAACTGGAATGGTTTTGTGAACCTCACAGGTTTCGCAGCATCGCCAAGTCTTACTTCCGACGCGCCGACGGCGTGTTGCTCCTGTATGATGTCACCTGTGAGAAAAGCTTCCTCAACATCAGAGAGTGGGTGGATATGATCGAGGTAAAACACAAATCCCCTCTAAAACTTCTGCATGAAAGAATATGATTAAATGTAACATGTTTTAAGTGTCAGACTAAGAGATTCTATGTATTTCTCTTTTTCTACGAGCAGCGGATGTGTGAGTGTTCGACAGGAAGCATGCTCACCTTGTGTTCTGTCATGTTTTTACACGAGAAAATAAGTGCTGCTCAGTGATCGGTGCTCGTTTGATTTCTGTATTTGGGTTAATTTTTGCACGTAATGATACAATCACAGCTCTAAACAATGACACGCTTTTCTTTGTGAAACAGGACGTGTCCCAGGACGACATTCCCATCATGCTTGTGGGTAATAAGTGTGATCTCAGACAGGATCAGGTGGAGTCTGTTCCTACTAGCTACGGAGAAAAGCTCGCCATGGTGAATCAGATCAAACATCTAAACCTTTAAAGGCTGTTTGATGATTTAATTTGAACATTTTTTGGAATAATCTTGCCTCTCTTAACCCTTTGACACGTGTAAGGCTAAATACCAACTTGATAATGTTTTATCCTTTTTAAAATGACTAATAAACTTTACTGCAAATAAAGCTGATGATTTCTGTCTTTTTCCATCAGACATACAACACTCTGTTCTGTGAAACCAGTGCTAAAGATGGGTCCAACATCCTGGAGGCAGTGCTGCACCTGGCCAGGTGAGACGCAGCTCACTGCTGTTGAGGCAGAAGCAATATATATATCATCGTCATCTTCCTCCGCTTATCCGGGTCCGGGTCGCGGAGGAAGCATCTCAACTAGGGAGCTCCAGACCGTCCTCTCCCCGGCCACCTCCACCAGTTCCTCCGGCAGGACCCCAAGGCGTTCCCGGACCAGATTGGGCATGTAACCTGTCCAACGTGTCCTGGGTCGACCCGGGGGCCTCCTGCCGGCAGGACATGCCCGAAACACCTCCCCAGGGAGGCGTCCAGGAGGCATCCTGACCAGATGCCCAAACCACCTCAACTGACTCCTTTCGATATGGAGGAGCAGCGGTTCTACTCCGAGTCCCTCCCAAATGTCCGAGCTCCTCACCCTATCTCTAAGGCTGAGCCCGGCCACCCTACGGAGGAAACTCATTTCGGCCGCTTGTATCCGCGATCTCGTTCTTTCGGTCATTACCCAAATCTCATGACCACAGGTGAGGATTGGGACATAGATCGACCGGTAAATCGAGAGCCTGGCTTTCTGGCTCAGCTCCCTCTTCACCACGACAGATCGGTTCAGCGTCCGCATCACTGCAGACACACATATATATATGTATATATATATACATATATATATATATATATATATATATATATATATATATATATATATACATATATATATATATATATATATATATATATATATATATATATATATATATATATATATATATATTTGTATGTATGTATGTGTATATATATATATATATATGTATATATATATATATATATATATATATTTGTATGTATGTATGTGTATATATATATATATATGTATATATATATATATATATATATATTTGTATGTATGTATGTATATATATATATATATATATATATATATATATATATATATATATATATATATATATATATATATATATATATATATATATATATATATATATATATATATACATATATATATACATACACATTTTTTTTGATGATATTTTGAGCAAATTAAATTATTTAATTAATGCTGAGAGAATCAGACGTTTTCTTTGTTGACAACTTGTATTTTAACAGAGGATTCTGGGTGTTTTTATAAAATAAATTACAAACTTTGATTAAAAGAGCTACTGTCTCTTAGCTACTTCCAACATTTTGTCTTTATTTGGAAATGATCATTTTACACTTTGGGTTTAATTTCAGCACCACATATTAATTTAGGTCATGTGTTTTTATCTCCATTGACTGCTACTTTTCAGAGTTTTTTAATAGAGGTTTTTAACGGCTTTTTAAGGGAGACGGTGGCACAGGAGTTAAGAGCTCGCCCCGTAATCGGAAGGTTGCAGGTTCGAGCCCCGCTCAGTCTGTCGCTGTCGTTGTGTCCTTGGGTAAGACACTTAATCCACCTTACCTGCTGGTGGTGGTCGGAGGGACCGGTGGCGCCAGTGCTTGGCAGCCTCGCCTCTGTCAGTGCGCCCCTGGGCAGCTGTGGCTACATCATAGCTCATTCCCACCAGTGTGTGAATGGGTGAATGACTGATTGTGTTGTAAAGCACCTTGGGGAGTTCCAGGAGTCTAGAAGGCGCTAAATCAAATACAGGCCATTTACCATTTAATTACAGTTTCAGTCGCAAAAATGCACAATAGAGATGAGAAAAAATATTTTTGTTTCATAAACCAAAATTATTGTATTTGTCCACCCATCCATCCATTTTCATCTGCTTGTTCGGGTCGCGGGGCCAACAGCATAAGCAGAGAGGCCCAGATTTGTTCTGGGTCTTCATTTGGGTCTCAGGAGTCCAGCAGGCATCCTGACCAGATGCCGGAGCCACCTCAACTGGCTCCTCTCAATGTGAAGGAGCAGCAGATCTACTCCGAACCCCTCCCAAATGACCAAGCTTCTCGCCCAATCTCTAAGGGAGAGCCCAGACTCCCTGCGAAGAAAACTAATTTTGACCGCTTGTATCCGTAGGTGAGGGTAGGAACGTAGATCGACCGGTAAATCGCCTTCCAGCTCAGCTCTCTCTTCACCATGCCAGATCGGTACAATGCCCGCAACACTACAGACACAGCACCAATCTGCCTATCGATTTTGTGCTCCATCTTTCCCTCATTTGTGAACAAGACCACGAGGTACTAACTCCTCCACGAGGTTCTCATCCCCGACCCGGAGAAGGCATTCTACTCTTTTTCGACTCAAGACCATGGTCTCGGATTTAGAGGAGCTGATTCTCATCCCAGCTGCATCACACTCGGCTGCGAATCGGTCCAGTGAAAGCCGGTGATCACGTTCTGACGAAGCCAACAGGACCACATCATCAGACCCGATTCTCAGACCACCAAAACGGATCCCCTCGACACCTTGGCTGCACCTGGAAATCCTGTCCATAAAAGTTATGAACAGAATCGGTGATAAAGAGCAGCCTTGGCAGAGTCCAACTCTCACCGAGCCTGACTTACTGCCGGGAATGCTCTGATACCGGGACCTAATAGCCCGTATCAGAGTCCGACTCCTAATTTCTGATATCAATATATGTTAAAAAAAATGTTTTTAGGTAACTAACATCTCATCTCCTATCACTTATAGTAGCATTTTAAACGTTATCTTTGCAAAATATAACTACTTTAATTATCCCAACCAAAACAAACAAAACACCTCAAAATCCAAAGCTTGGATCTGTGATATTTTGCCATTTTGAGTGAGAGGAGAAGGAGCTGAAGCATTTGATGTATAATCTGTGCATAGGATGTAAAAATGGTGTCATTAAAGAGCAAGTCACCCCCAAATCACATTTTTTTTGCTGATAAACTATATAAAGGAGTGTCTAATCGTACTACAGACACGTGTAGTCAATAATTTGGCAGTTCAGTGCATCATGGTTAAAATTCAAATATTCTGCCTAAAACTGTCAGTGTTGCGCCGTCGTTAGGGAAAACTTCTGCACTGTATCTGAATTGAAATCTGCCACCGCTATTGGCTAAGAGGTATGCTATGATGTCATCTGGTACATTATGATGTCACAATGCCATTGTGAGCGTGTGTGTGTGTGTGTATTTGTTAGCGGCTCCGCCCTCTCGGTCTGCCAAGCAACAGCATTTGTTGCATTTTTCAAACATGAAGTGGGAGTGAAGTAAGTTTCTTGTAGGGGGTGACTTGCTCTTTAAAGAGTAAAAACCGATAAGATGTTAATACCATCTGATGATACCAGACATCTCTACCTATAACTAAATAAATGTATGTTTATTTGTCACCTAACAGGCTGGTGAAGAAGCATGCAGCGTTGGAGGCGAGAAAAACTCCGCCCCTGCCGAGTTTAGACGCTCCTACAAATAAAACTAAACTGTCCTGCTGCACCTGATCCAACTCCTCCCATCTGGAGCGCCACACCGAACTCGTTACGAGCTGAATAAGGAACACAAAATCAGAAACGTGACAGAAACAGCTGCAGGAACGCGAGAGACATGAGATTATCATTTTAAATGGGTAAATCAGTAAAAACGTCATGCTCTGTGGATGATGTTTTAATTCATGCTAATTTTTCCAGATGTTGCTGATTAATTTTCTAGTATTCAAACATTTTTTCCCTCAGTGACAAACTTGTTTTCATGCAAGCAATTCATGAAAAGAAATCTGCAGCTGTGAAGGAGTAAACTGGGTTAAAAGTGGATTATCTGTTTGCACATTGAGGAATTCAGAATGTTGTTTTTGATTTAGGAGTCAGGTTTTTATTACATGTGAAACTCTGATTGCCCAAAATAATAGTCAGAGAAATATGGAGAAACGTCGAGTCATGAATGTTCACACTCTCTTTGTTCTAAAACCACAACAGTGTTACATTTATCCTTTTCTTCTCATAATTTATACTTTTGGCACATTTATCAGATCTTTTCTGTCTCCTAAGTTTCAAAACTGATTTTATCCTCTATTATAAGTGACACATGTAAAGTATTCTGTTTAGTTTGAAATTAGGAATCTGTTTTGCTATTTTGAGATTCTGTTATGAAAATAAATAACTTGTTCCATGTTATTGATTTTATACGCCTGGTGAAAGGTGTCATGGTCTGGGTACTGCTCTGTTTGTGTTTTCCTGAGTTTCTTCCCTGCAGGTGAATGTGGCTGAGACTCCCAAGTTGTCTGGCATCATCATCATCACGGCACCAGAGTATTTAGGGAGCAGCGTGACTCTTCTCCACTCAGTTTGGGTAGATCTGATCACGAGTCCTGCACGTCTGTCAAACAATCCGCCTGTTTGTGTGTTAACCCCTTTTGCCCGTCTGCTTCATCTACTCCTGTGACAACAACTCCGGATCTTCACACCACGTCTCGCTGCCCTCCTCTGGTCGCCCGCTCTCAGTCCCCCACCTGCCGATCATCCACTCACCCAGACATGACCCACCTCCCCCCCGCCTCCCTTCATCCTGAAGAACGTAAGCCTCAAAGACGGTTCATCTGCCCTCCCACACTTCTCAGCATACGCACTCTGTTCTCCTCTCTAGATCCAGTCCCGCCGAGCAGCCGTCCTCCGAATCAGCCGTGATTCCTGCTTCTTTGCAGCACCCTGAGTTCACGTTTATCCTCCCCCTTATTTAAATCTTATTTATCTTACCTTCCGTTGTGTTTGGTGATTCTGTATGTGGTGGGTCAAACACCTGGTACCCAACATGAGAAAAGGCAGGAAAAATGTCTGTGTGCTTCAGATTTCAAGATTTTGGGATTATAATTTCATATCTGCAAAAAAAAAAACAATAAAAAACAATAAAAAAAAACAATCACAGTTTAAATTAGAGAAACTTTATCCAAGTTTAGCATTTTTGTATTTATTTTAAGTATTAAGAAGTGAAAAGTGAAGCTTTTTAGTGTGTACCTGGTGTTTTATTGTCCTGATTGCACCAGTTGTTTTTTCCCAGCTGATCAACTCACCTGCTAGCCTGGCAAGCCAGACTAAATAAATGTATTGTTTACATTTACAAACTTTGCAAAGCAAGAATTTGGTCTAGTTCTCTAGGCTACTCACCTGCTGCTCAAGGTTTTGTTCTAAAACATATTGTTCCATATATTGAAGCCCTTCTTGCCACTGATTAAAAAAATATATATATATATATATATATATATATATATAATTTGTATCTCATAATTAGGACTTAGCTATCTCATAATCATGAGATACTTTCTCAAAAGTATGACTTAGCAGTCTCATTTGAGATACAAATGATTTTTTTCATCAGAGTGGCAGGAATGGGCTTCCATAGCCTTACGGTGACAGCCTCAAAAAGTATGCAGGTGTATAATGAAAGGTGACTCTGTAGCCTTGTAATGCAGTAATATGACAATTGTGTTTATACATTTGTAAAGGAAATAGTTATTTTCTTCTTTCTCAAATAAACACAAAGAACTTCAATATCAAACACCTATAAATTATAGCATATTAAACTGCATACTAGAATCAACACTGTTTGCTGTCAGTTGTTAATTCTGAGAATGACAAGCAGATTAGCATATGAGGCTTATATCATGTATAAATATCCAAGATACTTATTTAATCGATTTAAGTTCATACACCAACCTGTTTGGTCTATATTTAATCCAAAGATTAATGTTTAATTTAAGGTAATTAAATTTAATAGCAAAAGTTTATTTTTGAAACAGAAGTTAGGAATCTTTGCTTTTTCAATAACCAGAAATATTCATACCTTTCTGTGTTTCATTTCAAAGAATGAGGCAAAGTTTAAAAATGAAGAATTTATTACTAACAATTTTAAACTTGATGATTTGAAATGACGATTTAAATGACATTTAAAAATAACAATTTATGGATGACAATTTACCAGCTTTGATATTAAAACTTGTTTTAAAAGCTTTACCTGTGTCTGGATGGAAAGCTAAAATGAAATGAGAGATTGGATGCGTGAATTTTTCTCAGAAGGTTTCTTTCAGCGAGAGAAGCGCATTCTGGGTTGGAAATGATGGTTTTGCAGCTAACTGTTGTTACTTAGAGAAACAGCACCAGAAGTCATCTGTCGACAGTGTCTACCTCATCCAGTTTCAGGAGACCCCTTTTGGATCCGAGATGTCAGGTGGGGATGATTTCCTCCAGGCACGAGGATGGTAGAAGGACCTCAATGCGACCAAATCAGTCCTGGGATGTCTCCGTGGGTCACACGACTGATGAAACTATTTGCGTCTCAAAATCAATAACTCTGAAGGAGTTTAGCGTCAGCTGGTTACAGGTGCGTTTATTCAAAGCTATTCTATCATCGTGACAGAACAACAGGTAGAGGCTTCAGGGCGGCCGTTCCCTTATCCTCAGTGATGGTGGTTGGTTCACGAACTGAAGTTAAAGCTGTTGGAAAGTTAGTTTTAACAAAAACCTCAGAACACGCCTACTCAGAGCAAGAAAGCTTTGGTCATGAGAGGAAGACATGTGATGGCAGGTTACCTTTACTCTGGATAAGCTCTGTGTTGGATGGATAAGGTGGAAGTTGACCTTGTGGTTACTGAACACCATAACCGATTATCAACCATAATCATAATTATGCCCAAAGCATAATAATTCATTTCAGTAATTAAAAATACATTTATACTGAACCAAGTGATTATTTATGATGATTATAATAACAGTAATAAAGTCAAAGAGTTTATTAACATTCTTATCTAAATTATTATTGTGAAACTTGAAGTGTCCTTCTTCTGGGACGGAACAGCAGCAGATATAGATGATACTCCGCAGACATCATGGCTCCTCGCTTGTTTAATCTGTGGTGCAGCGTTACAGTCGACCCAGCTTGATCTAGCTGGGAAAATGTGACCTTTGTCACAAATTAGAGGACCTTCCGTGACGCTACAAAATAAACAAATACAAATTAAACCTAGAAATTTTAAAGATTCAAACTGATGTTCTTTTAAAGGTATCAACAGTTAACCAGGCAGAAATAGTGATGCTGGACAAGTGTGTTAGATATTTAATGGTTCTATTTCTGAACACGTGAACAATATTGAATGCATTAAGACTTACATGAGGAAACTAATAATTAGATCAGATGTTTTCTCCATGGTTGATCTGGGAAAACGCCCTACTGTTAGTATGCTGATTTGAGTTTGGTTGCTGGGTAGGGGGGAGTGGTATTCATAGAGTTTTAGGTCGTTAAGCAACAGCAGACAGCTGCATCTAATCAAAACAACCATTTCAACACAATGGAACCTAACGGCATCAATGATCCCTTGGGGGTAGGGAGGAGGGGTATTCATAGGTAGTTTCAGCTTGTTAACCAACAACAGCTACAGTTTAAAAACAATCTAAAAGCTTGGCTCTCCTATATTCCAGTCAGGACTGACAAAGCTGCTTGGATGAGAAGCAAAATATCTTCAAGAAACCTAGAAAGTCTAGTTGCTTTCAACCCCTCCTGTTAGCTGTCAGCTTCTCGTACATCTGGAGGAGTCTCTGAGCATAGAGCTGTTAGAATTGCTACAACATATGTTAAGGATTTTCCTCTGTTTGTGTGTGTGTGTGTGTGCGTGCGTGCGTGTGTGTGTGTGTGTGTGTGTGTGTGTGTGTGTGTGTGTGTGTGTGTGTGTGTTGGAGTTGGCACGAGTCCCCGTCTGCACTTCCCATCTGTTTACATTGTCATGTGCTTGATGAGGCGAGACCACTCATTTGTCAAACAACATTTGGGGTATTAGAGTGTGTGTGTGTGTGTGTGTGTGTGTGTGTGTGTGTGTGTGTGTGTGTGTGTGTGTGTGTGTGTGTGTGTGTGTGTGTGTGCGTGCGTGCATGTGTGTGTGCATGCGTGCTTGCGTGCGTGTGTGTGTGCATGTGTGTGTGAGTGCGTGTGTGTGTGTGTGTGTGTTCAGTAGTAATGAGGGGATAATTGGATAAGGGGACTGCATCCAAGAGGTTAATGACAGTAATGAATATATTAGTTTAGCAGAGATGTGGCCGCTTGTTTTTTATCATTCTACATTTGCAAGTTTGAAAAGAAAAAGAAAAACACACAAATAATAATTTCATAAATAATTCTGGGGCTTTTATCTATTAAATTACCCGACAAGGAACATGACAAATAATATTTTTTAAATAATAATCATCTTTCATTTGAAAACTTTTTCCATATTTCATCACATGGATTGAGCTTTCATTTCTATCAATGAAGAATAAAAGAAAAACACACACAGGTGTCCCAGGGAGGGGTGTCTCCACCATCTGAAAAGGTCAAAGGTCAGACAACAGGACAGAGTCTAATGACATCTGGTACAACAGACTGTCTCAAACAGCACTCATGTCAGACACACACACACACACACACACACACAACAAAAATCTGTCCAGTTTTGTCAAAGAGAATTAAACAGACTGATTCTTATCAATCAGTCTCATTTGAGTCATAATAAAAAAATGTACAAAATATTTGAAATTTTATAAATGTAATTTTTCTTTTTATATTTAATTCACTTTATAATTTCATACATTTATCATACTGTGTAAATTTCGAGATACATGTTTAAAATCCAGTCAACGTGATCTGTTGTTTAATAACTCGCTGCTGTTCCACTTCTGCAGGAAGAGGGCAGCAGACTCCCTTTTATTGTGTCACTAGATCTGCTACATGGTGATTTGTAACTGCAAATATATATAAAAAAAACTTTAATGAAGAAAAAATATTGACTATAATTTACCTGGCCAGCTGTGTTTGGAATGAAAACTGGTTGGAAAGTGTTTAAACACACATTCTGATTCTCTCCATCGTACCTTCCACCAGATCATCTGTAATGTGGGCATCATCCCAGTAAAAAGGGAAAACTCCACCCTCGTGTTTATCTCTGTGACCGCTCAGAGGATAAGCAGGGATTAGTGTTTATTTAATAATGTGTTAATCTGACAGATTAGCATTTGTTTGCGTGGCTTTTTTATCTGTGAATTACACCGATATAATTTAATATTTGTAAAAAAAAAACTGCACTTTTAGAAGTCTTCTTTGGTGATGATCACTGAGAAAGACACACATGTTCATTGGTGTCTCTAGTGTACGTACG